CTTCTGGAACATGCGCCATGTTTTCCGCTTTGAAAAATTGCCTAAAAAATCTTAAAAGGGAAAATTTAATCGCAAGCTATTGAGGATAAACTTACAGAGCCAAAAGACGAGATACGAGATTTTCCTTAGCGAAAGATAACATAAAACAACTGGTCCGCACGATTTACTATAAATAATAAACAGTGCATATATAAAATGATATAAACCATTGTGCAACATCTAAATACTGCATGAACTTATTAATGAAATTATGAATGAAATATATGAAAATCACTTATTTATATAAGCTCAAATCTGGACCTATATGTTCTTATATACAGCTTAGACTATATCTTTTCACAGTCCACCAGTAATTCCACCTTTTGTAATTTTCAATAAATTACCGGCAGGCCTCGAGATCTGGGCAGTCCGAGGAGATACCTAGTTCTTAACCCAGGGGGCATCAACAGCTGGGTCATTTCAGCCTGCAATGCAATCAGTTTTTAAATCCAAAACCACTCTCTCACTCACTCAATCTCTCTCTCTCTCTCTCTCTCTCTCTCTCTCTCTCTCTCTCTCTAACTTTTAAATAGATTATTTCCAATTTACATAACATTCACTCAGTTAGGGCAGTACTGAAAGAAAAACATCGCAACAATTTCCTCAAATAACATCAATTAACAGTTGGATATAGTTAATGAATTTCTGGATGTATTTTATTTTATATTCGATGTAGCCTGGTGCATATTTCCGGCCACTTACCATGAGGAGAATCATTTCCAATTTTTTTTGTAATGTACGAGACATTTTTACGTTATGCACAGTAGATTGAACAACATAAATCTAAACTTTAGTGTGATGTAGTAAGTAATTCCTGTCTGTAACTGCCCGTTGGATGTCGCGGATGAGGTGCTAAATCATTTTATATTATATTTTTCATACTATAAGTAATTTTTAAAAAAACCATGAGCTCTTTGGGATTCGAACTCAGAATTGCGAGCGTCGTAAAAGCGTGTCGGATGCCCTAACGATTCGACCATCTCTGTCTCCATAATCTACAGTGTGGTGGTTATTAAGAGAAGTGTTAACTATAAATAAAATGTTTCAATAATTTTTTTGTGAACAGAAATTTTCACCAGGATGAATTTTGCTTTAATGAGCTACATCCAGAGCTTCCTGTTAATCAATGTTTTTTGAGCAAGTTGTTACGAAGTTTGCAAACATGTGAAGCAATAAAATATTTTCTTTAAAATATTATATATAATATAAAATATAATATTTTTATAAAATATTATTTTATTTATATAAAATGATAAATAAATAAATTCTCCGTTGAAAAAGTTTCATTTTTCTAAAAACAATATTTGAATTTTTTTTTAAATCAGCGTAAAAACAGCTTGCATAAAAAAACAGTGATATACATCTTGCCATTTAAAATAGCTAAGCCCCTATTTATATTATGCTATAGAGAGAGTGCACGATGGTAATGTTCACAACACCAGATTAAAGTGAGATTGTGCATTTTATCATGGCAGTTGAAAATAGTAAAATCTGTGCCATTCTACTTAATAATCTGAGACAGTCGTCGGATTCCGCGATTAATTCTGCCAACCAGGCATAACAGATTTCGGCTAATTGTTCAACTCGGAGCCGAAGGACTGCCAGGCGAACTTTGTTTATGATTAATCAAAGAGGCGTATTTTGCCATTGACAATGACGGATGACTTCCGGCCTGGTGATTATTCCCGGGCTCTCTGTTTAGAAATTACTTTCTCAACCGAATCCTCGAGGACGTGGATAAGGATCGCGTATGAAAAGAAAATCCGAGGACAATCCCCGCACTCGAGTTCACGGCGTCGCGGAGATCCGCCACCGAGATTGGTCCCGTCACTAGACCGGCTCCCACGGGAAATCAAACGGACGTCAGTCAAAACGTAAAGGGTTAAATTGCACGTAAGCACCTCTTGACATTCACCCTTCCATCCCGGCAAATCATTACCCACGTTTATGACGGAAATCGCAGGGGAAAAAAAAGAAAACATTTTGCATGTGATGCTTTCAAAATCGATCGATACATATTAACAAAAATAAACAATAACACCGTTAAAGATATCAACCAAAAACTTTTAACAATAAATGTCTCATTTGTAAAAAATTCAAAACATTCTAATAAAATCCAAATCATTCTAATTAATTTGAAATAAATATTTTCCCTAATAACTGATACAGAAGCCTGAATATTTTCTGTGCTTCACAATTTAAAAACAGGCTAACGAATCTTCCTCTTTCCACCGGCATTCATTCCCGGAGTGATATTTCTCTCTTCATCCCTTCTGGTATTCGAACAAAAATCAGGGAACCGATAAAGGGCCCTGGATCCAATAAGCATAGCCGCGGCATCTCCCTTAATTCTTCTGGATGTTTTGTTTGAGCATCCAGCGGCGGCGCGGCCATCAAACGAGCCCACCCCCTCAAATATCGGGGTGAGTTTTTGAGTTCAATTAGAAAGGCCAGTTCAAAGGGGAAGTTAATTCATTTAGCCTCCGGCTCTCCTATTAGTTGGCTCAGGATTGGAACGTCATCTGCAAGAGCTTTTTTACAAAAAAGGGAGCCAGGGAGCCGCGGCGATAAAAAAAAGAAGAAGAAAAAAGCATTATTCCCTCTCCTGTCCAGGTAATTTGATTTAGCTGAAAACTGCTGATTCTAACAGTAAACAGTCTATACAAGATTAGCACCTATGCTTTTAGTTATGTTTAAAAACCAGAGAGAGAGGAAGAGAGAGAGAGAGAGAGAGAGAGAGAGAGAGAGAGAGAGAGAGAGAGAGAGAGGAAGAGTGAGAGAGTGGGAGGGAGAGAAAGATAATTTAAGATATACAAGTAAAACTGAGATTTATTAAGTACTACTTCACCATAAACACCCCATAATCGAGACCAAATAGGAATGATAAATGAGATATGGAACGAGAGGAAAAGAGAGTGAGATCGAGAACTGGATATTGAGAAATAGTTCGAGAGAATGAGAAGGAGAGGGTGAACAAATGAATATGGAAAGAGGAAACAAAATGATTTAAGTTAGGAAAATAAACCTGTGTTTTCTTAAGTACAGCTTCACCAAAAACACATAATAATCAAGGACTTTTTTAAAATAAAAATATAAATATTTATATATGACTGTAGTATTATTACTTTATTATTGCAGTAGCATAAAATTTGCATATGTCCATAACATTTTATGTTTTTCCACGTCCTATCTAAAAAAGTCATTTTCCATTTAGCGGTACTCTTTTTTTCTAAACGGCTTTTCTCTCCAATTCAACCCTTTTAATAATAGGATAAAAACATATTCGCATCTCTTTTCAGAGGCTATTTCCATTAATTGGACCCCGAAAGCGGGCTAATCAAATGTTTAGGTGAGATATCAAAACAAATGGAAACCCGGTCTCTAATACCGGCACGGTTGACCGAGAAACGGTATTATCCTCTTATCGGCTTAGCCGAAGACCATCCAATCAACAGTTTACCGTTCCCGACGGATAAAACGACGGACAAGACGGATACAATATCAACGGACGATTGCCAATTGTAATACCAATTTCATGATCTAATCTCAATTGCCTACTTTTTTATTAAATAGGAAAAAATACCACGAATTAATTTCACAGTTATGACCGGTCCTACCACAAAAATTATATAGATATTTACTTAGAACTTTCTGAAAGTGACAAACGCACCGATATGCAAAGATAGCGCCGACACATCCAAGATGGCGAGAAGCCGAAACGCTTCTAACAGATCGAAGCAAGCAAAGTTAGACAGATCAAAATAATAGATAACGGCCAAATTACAAATGTTTTTGGTCGATGATGATGAGATGATACTATGAAGCAGGGTTTCGGTATGCCTCATGCACTGCCAGCCTTTCATCTTATTGTACTTTACCCTTTCTAATTGTATCAATGTGTTTGTCAGTTTTGAATAAGTTTCTTAAATCATATAATTTTAATGTGCCAGGCACATCTGGAGTTGGGACACTTCCAACTTTTTTAAGGACTAAGGAGATGTAGGTGGTCTATGTTTGATTACTTATGACACTTATGGTTTCTGACCAGTCCGTCCGTTACACAAAATCTTTTTCTGCCCTGGCAACTAGCCTGACATTATTAGAGAGTTTGGTTTTCCCAGGTTTTTTAGATTTCGATGCACTCCCTGACAGTTTTGGATGTGATGTGTTAAAGTACTAAATATTTAGGTTTTCTTTACTGTAAAGATTTGTTGAGGATTTTGGCCCATCTGTACTCTCGATATTCTCCTGATTTTATTCTAATAATTTTTAATAAGTTAAAAATGTATTGGATGTTGCAAATGATCTTTCTGAGATTTTTTGGACGATTTTTTTTTTTTTTTTTTTTTAAGCCATAAACCATGTGTAGCCATGCCGCAGCCAACGCCACGCGAACCGCCGGAATGGGGAACCCATCCACCCCCATGGCGGAGCAGTAGACCCCCACAGACCAGCGGCCCCCAAGACGCCCGGCAGCATCCACAACCACCACTCGATTCTCCTAATGTTTCCCTTTATACATTATGATTAATCTTAGTTAAATATTTAAATAGCAACTTATACACATTTATACTCCCTGAATATAATAACGCCCTGTAGTCAAAAGGCGTATCCACGATTTTCGCTAGCGCATCAAACAATTCATTTCTTGTCTGAATTGTTAGGAACATTAGGAGAATCGAGTGATGTTCTATTTGGGATATTCTAAATTCACTATTGTATCAGTTGTACTTATATCAGTTATTGCAAATCTCAAACAAATCGGGACACAATAAACAAATAATAAGGGCAAACAAGAAGAAGATTTAAGGATCCGACCCAAGATCAAAGAACTATTTGGGGCTTGTTAACTTGTGATTGGAATCCAGGAGGGGATAAGCAATCTAATGAATGGGGTATTTTAATATAACCCACCAGACTGGAGCTTTGTGACTCACAAATTTGTCTGTAGTTTAATTAGAGCGGAGAAAGATAGTTTTTCAAAGCATCAGTACGAAGTACTTATTTTCCAGCTATCAAGACACTCATAAACACACAATAAACTTAGAAACTGGGTTTATTACTAAAGTTCGCTGCATTTATTAAAGATATAGAGTACAAAGAGCAATTTGTAAATAATGTACGTATAAGAAGAAATTACGTAGAAATTCTATCGATTCATGGCTAAATAAGATTAACAATCTCGTATGAGATAAAACCCAGGCCAAATAGAAAATCGACGACGTTATCAGTAAGAGTCGCCCGGCTATCCAAGATGTTAGAAAAAATTCTATTATGCTTTGCTCTATTAGGCAGTTGTTACGGTACTTTTTTAAAAATCGGCTAATTTAAACATAAATGTCAGAAATGTCTATAATTTAATTTTGGATAATACGACAGGTTTCAGCAGGACGGCTGAAATACTTACAGGACACGCCCAAGGAAATGAAAGTGACAGCAACAGTGAGTATAATTTTTTTTAAATAAATAAATTAAGACAAAGCAAAAAACATTACCATATCAATAAATGTATTTTTTTTTTAAATTTTCTTATTAATCGATACAACAAAAATTGCTACCCGTCAATGTTATCTATTTTAAATAAAAGTAACTGTTGATTTCATTATATTTTCGTAAGAAATAATACCAGCGAAACAGCTATCATTTGAATTGAAAAACTTTACTAGTTGACTTTTTCTTTAGACAATTTAATATTGATATAGAATAAAGACATAGAAATAGATTTTAAAAATAGCATCAGTTTTGATTAATAACGCAAAGATGACGGAAAATACTTTTGCCCAATAAGCCCAGTTTTCCGAGAAAAAATTAAATATAGTATTTTCATGTCAATGTGAGTTAGAAAATCCTTTTTTGAAGTGTTATATTATATTTTTCAGCTTACTATCATCCAGTTTTCGTTTAGTCATAACGAACCACCCTGTGTAAGTTAGTAGCCTGTGTTTACATTTTTCTTAAATTGTGGATAAACTCCCAAATATCTTACATTCTCCAATTTAATACGAGTAGATCCATTTACATTTTGCAGATATTTTTGTTGACAATGATTTGTTGGATTAACGTTTTAAAATGAATACACACAATAATGTACTAGCTGAATTTAAGAATGATAAAGATAAAGATCGCTATAGATATTCATTTTTCAAAAATGTCCTGTAAATATTTTTTAATAGAGTTATAAACACTTAAAAACATTGAATAAACTTTTTGTTAAAGTATATGAGGAACATTTATCTTAAAAACAAATAAACTTTGATTTTGGAGATTCATATATTTTTGACGAATTTTTGTGAAACATTTGGGCTAAAAAATACTTAAAGCAATTAGTCGGATTTTAGAAACAATTTGTGTTCAAGTTATTTATGTAGATAACATAGTAAAATTAAGACAGAAAAAAATAAAAATTAAATGCAGTTAAATAAAAATATTTTCATGAACGTAATTTCCATTTCAAACGAAAATAACCTTAATAATTAAACATATTTCGCTGGCAAATCCATCAAAATAATGCTGACAAGCCAAAGGATCTGGCGAAAGTTTGTTCCTTATACATTTTTTACCATAGAAAGTTGTTCCATTTGGTACTTATGAAATTGGGATTTTCAAAGTTAATGTTTCGATAATTGCAAGTTTTATTCTGATAATTTGACAGATATTAAGAAGATGGTGAGATTCTATAAGGACCTCAATTGCATCGAGGATCAGAATGGAAAATTCGATTGCAGTAAGTTAAGGATAGTTTAACTAAATAATATATACATATACTAACTCATCCTGCCTATCCAATCTACACCGTCCCCCTGATTGTGTTTATTGATGCCTATGATAGGTCCTCTGTGAACTTTTCGTTGTGCTCTTGTTGGACAGATATTCCAACTGAACTGGAGAACTGGAGTGTCTCAGCTAAACTTGGTTGTCTTGGATTCCGGACATGTAGGTCTGGAAGAAAACAAAATTGTAGACGATGCGGCGTCCCAAACTTTGGACCTAACGAAATCGATCAGGCTCACTCACGCTGAAAATGCAAGGAAAAATTGTTATATGGAAATGGCAGCGTCGGTGGGCTGGATCGGCAGAGAAACTCCTACGTATCAAAAGCTTAGTTTGTAGGTGGCCCTTGCTGAGTCTGAAATGTAGAAGACCCTCGTCCGGCATGTTGTCCCGCTTAATTGAAGGTTGTCATTCCTTGGCTCCGTATAGCGAGCAAGTAGGATCACCCGTCTTGTTTATTGTGATAGTATGGTGCTGTGTTTCCATTTTGTGCTCTGAGACTGAGACTTAGTGTATTTATTGGCGTGAGTGTAATGTGTGAGATGGTGGAGTATTAAGCAGCCCATCGTCACTGATCACTCTTCGCTTATTCTTGCTGGTTTACGTTTAACTAATACACGTTTCAGCTTCATGCCATCCACAGTGAAGAGATCACACTAATACTTACCAGAAATATCGTTCCAAGTGGCAATCTGTCTTAGTAAGCATAGATAACGGAGCGCCCCAAGGGTTCATCCTGTTTACAAATATCCTAAACTAATCTAAATTTTATGACAAACTAAAATCCAACCAGTTGGTTTTGTATGATGACTTAAGATTATTTACTTTTTGATAGAACACTATTGTGAAAGGCCAATTTAATTTTAAAAATTTAATAAATCCCTTCTTTTGTTTGTATTATTAAGAGTGAATCTATTTATAAGCGTAAATGTGGTGTGAGAGGGCCGATGCTAGAGTATTGGGTACCCCACGGACCCTCAACCAGATTAATTAGATATAGATAGTATGTGTAAAAGGTGATATGGGGAATGTAGTACTCGAATACTCGACCACTCTACTTGAGGGAATGGTATGTAAGTAAGAAAGAATATATTTAAAAACGAGTGTATGTAGGTTCAAAAACTGCGTGTGTTGGGGACTGCAATGACCTATTTTTTGTCAGTCACTAGAGCCTAACATGGATGGCGAGACGGATAAAATCTAATAATTGTAATTCTGGCTCTATTCGGCCAAAAGCGGAAATATACGATCATCACAGTTAACCGCCAGAAGTCACAAGCTCAATACATATTACACTCGTATATAAAACTAAGACAATTTACTATCACTACTAACTTACTGTGAAATTATTCAATTAGAAATATAGAAAATTTACAATAAAACTCTAAATCGAAACGCCCGCTATAAATGGAGAATCTCCAGTTATAGCCTAACTCCTTTAATAACTTTCTTTTCATTCTTATAATACCGACTAATCCATCACGTCTCCCGGGAGATGGGACACTTTTTCAGTCTTTGCAGGTTCAATCGGATTTGTCCAGACCAGTCCATCATCGATAATTCCACGTTGGTATGATATAGGTATAAAGTCATCCCAAACGTCCTTTCATAATTCCCTCTCTCCTATTCTATCCATGAAATAGATTTATGAATTTTCATATGTTCTGTAATCTTATGGTTTTATACCTGTTAATTAAGGTTTAATTACAAAGTTGAAACAAGACCGTTGTTATGAAGGTGGAAAAGAATACCCAAAAGGGTACAAACTTAAAGTATCAGCACACCGTTTCCGTAATTGTATTTGCACTGAAGAAGACGGCAGGAACAGGTAGACGGTTTTTTATTAACAAAAAATTGTTATGAATATGTGGCAATACATTTCAGAACAAAATGGATGTGCGATTATCAAATGTGTTTTGGTAAAGCGAAAGATTGCCGGAATTTGTACAATGGTTCTTGCTGTCCAATATCCACAAGCTTCGGTTTGTTTTAAAAACATATCCATATTGATGCAGTTCAATATAATTTTTTTGTAAACAAAGAAGATAGTTTGCTGAAAAACGACGACAAAACGTGCATTCATATCGGTGAAAAATATATCTACGGGGAGCATTTCATCCCGAAACATGATCCCTGCACCGTCTGCTACTGCGATGAAAATTTCAGAGGTAATATTAAAATTTCACTCTCTTGTGACTAACGTGATAATAATTTTTTGTTTCAGGCAACTTGACTGAACCTGCTTGTCTTCCAGTGCAGTGTAATACTAATTTGCTGTACTCGAACTACATTTCGAGAGGTTGCACGCCCATTTTTTTACGTCCACAAGCATGCTGTCCGTCCCAACTCTGGCTATGTGGTTTGTCAATAAATGCATATATTATATTGGCTATTAATAATAAAATATTATATATATATATATATATATATGTCTGTAGGGATAAGAGAGGCGGGGGGGATAATCTTTGTGCTCATGGCTGCACTAACAAATTTCGTATTTTTTAGATGGCGAACAGACAGGACGAAAAGGTAAATCAACTTAATAATATTATGCAATATTTATAGTGGCCAGCTTTCACCCAACAAGATTATACTGGTTATGGCATTTCAATTTTAAATTTATTTTTAATTATTAAAGCAATAATCAAAACCGTGAATAAATTGTTTGATCTAAGAATCTTCAAAACTGATATAAAATCACAGTTTGACACATCAAGACAACGGCAACTAATAGTACAATCCAAGCTGCATCAAACTTCAAAGACTTAAAACAGCAGCACTAACCAACGATAAATAACAACAAAACAACTAGCAACTAATACAAAAAAAAATGAATTTGGAGGAAATTAACAATTACACATCTATAGGGAATGGGGAATTAGTTAAAGATGATATGGAACTAAAAAGTAAAAAAGATATGCATAGTATATTATATAGAACGACGAAAATTCATACTATGCAACTTCAACTAAAGCGAAACTTTAACAAAACAGACAAGCTTGAAATCACCGCATGGCGTACGAAAGAACTAGAATAGACTTAAACATAAAATATACAAATAACACACAATCATAAGGGCCGATCGGATCATGAAAATTGTCAAAAACTAAAAAAGAATAATAAAAATAAAAAAATAAAATAAAATACAAAAGAATAACACATATTCGAACTCTACGTTATTTCAATGAATTTCAAAAAGCGAATTTTTTTCTTACAAATTATTTCAATACAGTTTAAATATTATGTCATTATATGTGTGAAAAATAAGGACGCAATCAACACAAAATTTCCATACTTTTTATTTTATATATCTAATTCCAGCTTATTAACGGGGGGGCGAAGGAATAAAGGTAATATGGAGATTTTTCATAACGTTGGCGTGAACGGTAACGCTAAATTAATATAAGTGGGCATAAGTAGATTTAACTAAAAGCTTCTGTAATAGAGTCCTACATTATTTGTCTTATTTTTCAGTGCTAGAATTATTGACCATTTTTTTCACTCAGGAACAATCTGGATCAGGGTATGGTCTTGAAGGGAAAAAGCAAATTCAGTTGTTACTGCCAAGCTTTGGACCTATTTTGCCCTGATGATAAACAGGTACAAAACATGGCAGTAACAACTCAATTTTTTCTTCAAGTCCATACATTGATCCAGAGAGTTTCTGACCAGGTGACGGTAAAGTCTACAAAGTATTTGTCCTATTTAAAAAAATATTATATANTATATATATAAATTCAATCAAATTGTTTATTTTGTAGTTAATATTTTACGATTGGTACAAGTTTTCATGAATCCCGGCTCTTTGATGGATGTATATTTGGTTATACCATCAGGAATGACATTAGCTTGAAATACTGCAACCTTATACGTCTTTCCTCCAATGAAGCAACAGCAATTGTGTAAAATCTGTCCTTTGGTTGAATTGCCAACGTTCTAACAGACAGGTGTAGAATGTGATTATAATGAATATTATATGGTTAACTAACTTCACTATAATATTTTAGGTTTTTCTAAAATTACTAAGTGTTCAAGCATACTATATTTTGTATATATTATATATTATTTGTTTTAAAAATAATTAGTATAAGTTATATGTAATTATTGTTGGTAAGTGTGAATTTTTGTGATCTGTACGTCGCGCACCTAATAGGCCGTGAAGAGACGGGTTGTTGGAGACGCGCTTGACGACAAGGTCCAGACATTCTTCTTCGCTCCCGCACGTGTTCGAGGCAGTCCCGCAACCCGCAAGCTTAAAAGACTTTGTGTACGAGTTACATCCGCAATTTATTCGCGACCGTTTTTTGTGCGTGTCAATTTCTCCGCACTCGCCGCTCCACTCGCTGACCTCACCCGTGTGTTTTTTCGCTTTAGACAATTTATGTTTTTTTTTTCTCTCTTTGGTTTTATTAAAACTGTAAACTTATTTTATATTTGTTTTATTTCGTTTGTATAAAATTTAAATTTAATTCCTTCGATTCTTGTACAATTATAATTAATTTCAAACATTGCCTTATTGTCATTTATTTAAACATATACATTAATTGAATTGTATACCAGTATTGTGGGCTGGTAAGTGTTAAGGAATTATAAGGATTGAAGTTTCCATTTTTTTTCATTACATGTGAGATGTTGATGGACTGCAATCTGGAAAAATTTATATTTAGCGGATTCTAGTGAAATTTAGAGTTTCGGAGAGTGAGGGATTACCCTCAATTGAGTTGGGTCGCCCTTTGTCGCACACTAAGTTAAGCTAAAAGCTTTTGTTAGTTATTAAATACGGTTAAACCAACATTCTGGGTTTAAAATATTTTACCAACTAATTAACAAAAATAAAGAATCTAAACGCTATAAAGAGTTTGTTTACTGTGTACGTCAGAGCTTCTACAACTATTAAGTTTAGAGAATTTTTAATGGTTGCATTCTAATTATTCTCATTTATATTAACATATAAACCAAAGACTGTTGATAAAGGCTCAAAGAAAAAATATATTGTTGTTCAACGATTAAAATGCAGTGAACATTTGATATAGTCAAGAAGAAAGAAGTTTTAAGCGAAAAAAATACTCCCGTTGATCCAGCCTTAAAATTTTGTCTTAGGTAACAGTTCGTTTTTAGGAACTTTCAAGTGTTTTAAGCGAATAAGAATTTTTTTTCAAAACAACATATTTTGGCCTACATTACTATAAGCAGTTTTTGTTTTGACTACGTTTTATGATGGTATCAAATCTCATTTATATCTTTAAATGCTTATTTCATACCATACCCGTATTTTAAGATTTTAAAGAAAGGTTTATTTTGAAATTTAAAACCGTTGATTTGAACGTAAAAACGTTAATTTGAAATTTAAAAAGGTTATTTAAAGTTACAAAAAAGTTCATTTGAAATTATTAACGATTATTTGGAAATAAGAAAAGTTAATTTTAAATTTAAAATGTTTTATATAAAATTTAAAAAAACAAACAATTTGAAGTTAAAAATCTTCTTTATTATTTTGTTATACTACGTTTAAAAAAAGACTGTGATAGATAAAATAACTTTAAAATCCTTATACAGCAAAACCATATTTACAAAAAATTATTAATTATTTTCTTTTTAAATTGGATTCAGTGTTTCCATTCAGTGTGTCCGTAGGCTCCTATAGTTAATTATATTGTTAAAGATTAAATAATTACCATAATTAGTTTGTTCATTCCTTTGATTTAACAGCAACAATATTTAAAAGGAGTAATTTTTTTCAGGTGACAAATGCAGGTTTGGAGGCAACGAATACGAGATAGGAGAAAAATTCAAGCCTGGAGGCGAAGTTAGCCAGTGCGTGGAATGCTTGTGCCGAGTGCCTCCGTATCCAACTTGTGTCCACAGAGAAAAATGTGGATTCTCTAACTTTTGGAACATGTTGTACAACGCGAAGCATAACTTTCCTGCGATATTTTGACAATAAAATTTATTTTCTACCGACTGCCGAATCGTCTGTTTCCGAAAATCCTGAACATTTTTAAATAGGTGTACCAAAAATAGTATTAAAAACGTTGACCGAAAACCAAAATAGTTGCGAAACAACGAAGATATTTTACATTCTTTATTTAAGAATCGTTTTGAATTAGATTGCGTTTAGGCGACGAAGGTTCTGGTAGTGACAACGGCTGAGTCAGAGGAAAACGTGAACCCTCCCAGACTCGGGACACGCGACCGCCTTTCTCGCCGACCCGACCTATTCAATATTTGATTTATTGCCGGATCAAGTGCAACTTTGTCAAGGGCTGTTGTCGTCGCCGTGGGGGCGAGCATAAAACGATAATTGAAAGGGAGACTTGCGAACTGGAAGAAAAATGGTTACAGCCGTGTTCAATTAGGAATGGGGCGAGAATCTCTCAACACCACTTCATCTTCTTTTTCTTTAAAGTCTAACGACTTTTTGAAAATGTTGAACCTTATTCCACACTTCCAATAGAAGACTGATTGTGTACCTCTTAGAAATTCAACTTTTGTATAGAGCCGTTTTACTTAGAGTAGGATTTAAAGATCGTTCAAATGTATGTAATTGTCTCACTTTTTAGTCTGACCGGTGGCTTCAGTGCATATTTACCACTCTAGCCGTCTGATTTGTATTCCAGTATAACCTAAAGGATTTTTCATTGTGAATAATACGGACAAAGCATTGTAAAAGTTGTTTGACCAATCGTCCTCGACACTTACCGAGTAGTTAGAAGTCAAGCCCTCCTGTATGACAGGAATGATATTATTTTCAAATTTATATTATGGTAAGTAAAAATCCGTATTTTCTTAAAACACTTTATTTCTGCTCGAAAACTACTTTTTGGAAAAAAAAATTTAGTAGTTTTAACTTACCATCTTTGCGCAGAATATTAATGGTACCATCCACATATTTTTCCGTAATAGAACTGTTGCTAAACTAATAATTTATATATATAAATTATTTAAAACAAAAATTTACTGATATATCATTAAATTATTATCTATTGGTTTTACTTTTTAAAGATTGTTATTATTTTCTTTTATACCTTGTACACAAATCATCCCATCTTCATCTTTTTGTTCATAATATGTTGTTATTATTAATTTTTAAGGGCGTTTTAACGGCTAAGGTCATTTCTCGCCCTACCATCCAAACCTTCTATCTTAGGTTAGCTATATCTCTTCTGAGTGCTATAAAGCTCTGACTCCAAACATTCACTCGTAAACTAATTTATCCTATTGCCATCCAAGCTTATTTTTCTTTTAGTTATTATTGTATAATAATTTAGATTTTGTTTTCAATTATTTTTCTAAGATCTTTTTGGGGTAATTATTTGCCTTAAATTTTATTTTTAATTAAAATTTTAATTTTATTTGTATTAAAAATTTAATATTCTATTGGTTGTATTTGTTTCTTATACCAATCTATTAAGAACATTTTGTTATTTAATATAATTTTTTATCTGATAAATTGAGCGCGTATCAGGCCGTTACGAGATAAGGGATGGATGAGATATTTCAACAGCTCTCCAGGATCATGGAATTTTTTTTAATGTTACTAAGATTCGTTCGTTTACTTTTTCTTCATTATTATTACCTCAAAATTGTATTCCCGAAATTTATATTTATTTAAATTATTATAATTTTTGTTTCAATTACGTTTGTTATCTATCGTCGAGATGAAAAACTTAAACTACATGTCACGAGCGGGATTCGAACCCACGACTTCTAACCACTTGAAGTATCGTGACTCAAGTAGTTAGAGAAACGGCATATGTGTTATGACGTGGTCAATTATGACCGCCCGCTAAAAATATATGGATTAAAACCATTTTTTTGTATTGAATTCAGTTTACAAGTTTTCAACTTTTAAGGCCGTTTTTCAAAATCAGGATGTCCTTTTCAGATAATCAGGCCGAAATTATCTTTAATTAATTAAAATTAATAAAATAAGGATAAATTACAAATATCCCTATTCATTTTTGCGCAGTTTAGTTGAAAATTTTTATCTGTTTTTGAAAAAAAAATCATACATGATACCTCAAGACCAGTACAACTTTTAAGTTTGTAATACCCCACCACTTTTATTTTAAAATCAATGCCGCAATCCGATTTCACTTGGTTAAAAAATAACGAATTTATGGGATAAAGTTTGAAAAGAAAAGGCATAATTTTGTTTGCAATTTGTTTGATATTTCATAAAGATAACTTGTTGATTGAAAGATGAGAAATAGAATAGTCAAAAAATTATCATAGGGTGGATACAACCTACATTTCATGTGTGAACTGCCTACTCTGGTTTAAGGGGTAATAATTGCCTCTCCTTATGAGGCCTCTATCAAGGTGGAGTACCATTCTTCATCATTGTTCATCTAGTAAAGTTGGGAACTCTTGTATCAAGAAATGACGCAAGAAACTGAGCTCCATTTAAATTAGTAGAAAATAGTAAAATAGAAATAAGAACCAATTTATTTATTTTCAGGAAGCCCATAACGAACATTTATGCTGTGGTTCATTGTGTTACGACAAGAATACAGAATTCGGGGGTTTTCCCACACCGATTTGATCTACCATTTGTGGTGAAGTCTGGTTCACCAGTCCACAGGTTGTATGGTGGAATTTTTCTCCCAAATCAACATTTCCACAATGAACATTAGACTGATACAGTTCGTAGGCCCCTAGACACGATATGCAATACGGCTTAAAATAGTTAAAAATTGTTTGTTGTTGTTATTATTTTAAAACAGTTCAGAGTACATCTGTAATTTTGTTCTTTGAAAAACCCAAAACCCTTCCAGTATGTCGATTGAAGGAATTTGGATATTCGTGAACATGCAATAAAAAATCCAGCTCCTCGTACAAAAATTTCGCTGTTTCTTGAACCCTCAAAAGACCCGCATCTCCTTAAAAATACCTTACATATCAAATCGTTATTGAGGGAAATAACTGACTGTTCGAATCATGTTGACTTACAGTTAAAATTAAACTGAATGAAATGAAGTTATATCTAATTGCTAAAGGTTTTACACCCAGGAATTAAAATTGCTCAAATACCTTCCTTGATGTATATAAAACCAGTTGTGTAAAAAATGATAACAATTCAAGTATTTTTATTATTATTAATAATAATTGAATTATTTTTTCAAAAACAGGTAGAAATTTTCAACTAGACTGAAAAATAGTAAGTAATTTTGACTTTCTTTTTACGTTGTCTATTGAAGAGAAATTCAGCTGGGCTATCTTGAAAGGACACCCTGTATAGTCTGAAATCTTTCGAGTTTCAATCTTTACTGTTAATTAATATCATCAGAATTTCCAAGTAGCATCTTGGATTGTGTGCTTTGATAAAATAACAGGACAGACATTTTTTCGAAATGAGCTGTTGAAGTGGCAATAATGATAGATCCTGGTACGAGGATAGTAAAGAATGCTGTATCCTTAGCCCAATTTGAACATGCTCAAGTGTCCAAGAGGAGTCCATTGTTCTCTGCTTAAAAAGGAAGTAAAAAATACTAAGCGCACGGCCACGTAACGAGGGGGTTATTGGGAGCTGATGAGAGCCTACGCCGGAGATTGCGGATGAGTCATACCCGTCAGGCTTGTGCATTGCTAATTGATCCCGGTGATTGCCACTTGCTCGCATCTGTGACGAGTTGGGAATTCGAATAGGTTGCTATCTGAGAGCTCGTTAACAAAGTAATGTGCCTGACGGAATCCAATAAAGAATTAAACGACGACGAGTTGAACGTCAGAGTTTTAAACGGTGATTTGCATAAACGAATGACCCCTTGCCCACCGCAGTCCTGCATTCAAAAGATAGTTAGCAGTTTCATTATGACTGATCATTTTCTCGGATGCCCCTTCACAGGGTTCGACCCCTTTCATGAAAAGTGCCAGTTAGTGTTTATGAAATTTGAAACAGAAAGAGGGGAGATGAAGTATTGATATTGAGGGAGAGAGAGATTGGAGAACAGGTGAATACCTGGAAATGATCGAAGAAACTACTTGCAGTAGTTAGAGCAAATCAAGCAAAATCAGGACGGATCCTTCCATTTTACAGACTGGATTTAAGAGCGTTTATTTCATAAGCGTTTTCCAAGTTGGTGGGTTTGAAGAGAGAAACCATTACTGTCTACACGGATTCAACTTTCACAGGAAACAAGAGCATTTTGAGCACTTAATCGACTAAAATATTCAAAAAAATCGCTTAAGTACTTGCTTACTTGATAATTCTTTGCAATAAGAAAATTCTATCGAGTAAAAGAAGAAAGGGTTAATAATCAACTAAACACTACGTTTATCAAGGAAGAAACTCTGACTAACATAAAACAAACCTTTCCATGTTTTCGTACCCCACAAAAACCGGTTTACCTGTTTAAGCACTAAATTAAGGTAATTTGCATCGAGAGTGCCGCTGACGTTTCTGCTAATGTCTGGCGTCTTAATGAGCTCCTCGGTCTAAGAGACAATGCTAACATATCTCAAGCGCACTTCATTACCAGGGTTGTTACAAATGTCATGGAACACTTTGTGCCCACGTTCGCCCTACTGAGCAACAGAAGTTGACTGGGTGTGATAGTATTACGAAATTAACTATTAATGCACAATATTATTGGACTTTATCTATTGTTTTAATTATTTTTACATACGTTTATTTAAACTGCATAACAAAAAAAGCAGCAAGAAGCTTGTTGTGGTTACAATGTATGAAGGAACCCAATATTGCTACTTTGCATTTTATTTGTTTTATTGACTACAGATGGATGACGGTGGAATGTAAGATATTCTGGCTAAGCCATAAACAAATGAATGTTGGGTAGGATGTTAGATATGTAAAAATGTATCGACTATTTTTTAAAGGTTATTGGATCGTACAATTTTTTTATTGTAGGAATGTCTGGAATGTCGAGTTCAAGTCCGTCAGTACACATTGGTTTTAATATTGCGTTCACAATCCGTATTTTAAGGTTAGTCTTAGGAAT